TCCATTGGCATTGTCTGGGCCAAGTCTGTGGGCATTTCAAAGCACTGCAAGAACAATGAAATAGAAAGAACACGTTTTGGGGTGGCATTGCAGAAGATTAAATTGTCATATGCAAAAAGTGTGTTATTTCTAGGGCAACTCAGGATGGTTTGTATCCCCTCAGTATATCTTGCTCAAAACCTGCGACATGCAACAACTCAAAGCCACCTCCACAATCGTGAAGAGGAAAGGGGAGATGGCACGTCCCTGTCTTTGCCTTATGGAGGCTAGGAGGTGCCCCTCAAGCGAGCTGTTGATGAGGATGAGAATGGTGATAAGAAGCGCAGCAGCCTTTCTTCCATGATGGCCACCTTGTGCTGAATCCCATTTTCGTAAGTACCTCATCGAGGATAGACTAGTCAACATGGTTGTATGCTTTTGCCAGCTCTAATTTGATTATGGGACCTAGGTTTTTCCCCTAAGTCTAATATGATTACAAGACTTGAGTTTTGGCCAAATGCTTAGAGTGGAAGCCTTCATGGGCAATTAGTTCCCCTTCCAGGATTTGTCTATGGTGGGTGAAAGCAGACTGGCTGTCAGTAATGATGAGGTTGAGGACCTCCCACAAGGGAGAGGCTGGACCTTTGCTAGGAGGATCTTGTCAATGTTTAAAAAGTCGGATGCAGCCGCCTAGGCGGTTTAGGGACCTAGTTGCCTAGGTGGGCGCCCAGGGACAAGGACACAGGTAAACCAACCCCCCCCCCCCTCCCCTCCCTACCCTTTTAAAAAGCGCCAAAAAAAGTTATACCATATAAAGACATAGGCATCATCAAATTGCAATACAACTCAAATGTGATATTAGATTTGGTTTCAAAAAAAAAAAATCACATAGTTTCCACATAACATAGTTTCCATAAGATTTGCTTTTGCAACCTAAATATTTGCAAAATATCAATTTATTTCAAACTATTCACAAAACATAAGCCCAAACCGGTAAATATCACCAAATTCAAATTTTGTATTGCACTAAGCTTTTCAAAATGAATTCGATAAAGGTCTAAACTGGGAAATATTCACCAAACATTTCAAGATTTCAACTACAAATTATCATAAGAAAAGTAAAAGAACAATCTAATGATTCAAATCATAATACATTATACTAAAAAAATACCAAACTCTAATTCAAATATTGTAATGCACTAACCTTTTCAAAATGAAATTGATATTGGCCCAAATCGGTGGTCTTTGGTTACCAAACGTCCTTTTTATGCTATTTGTCGAAGCTCCAAAAATATCTCGATGTAATTCTTTTGTTTTCGCAAGAAATTGAAAAGTTAAAATTATTTCGTTATTGCAAAAATCTTAAATTCCAAATTTTTTGAGAGTTTTCTCTCTCTAGGATGCACAAGAGGGGTTTTTGGGGACTAGAGTGCTCCCCCAAACCCTTTCCCCCCTTTTTAAGGAGGAGGGAATCTTGAAAATGTCCCCGGTCGAGGACCTTTTCCTGCCCTCGGCCTTCCTATCTCGGCGATGCTGCCTAGGCATGCACCTGGACACGACACCTAGGTGACTCGCCTAGTTGGCCACGCTGCCGAATTTTTGAACATTGGATCTTGTAGGTACTATGCAGGAGGATAATTGGTTGAAAGTTTTAAGCTCTTCTACTCCTCTCTCAGGTATCATGGCAGTGAAGGTGGATTTCATTTTGTGGTGAAAGAAGGCTAGGATTTTTGGGTTGTGGGAGCCCCAAAACTTACTAAATAGGATGACCGAGTTTGGTGCAAGGCTTTATGTTGACCCAAATCAGTCACTTCTCGTTTTATTTTTATTTTGAAGAAAAGCCTTACTAACTAGGATGCTTTCGCTGGAGGCAGACCAAGAAGCGAAAGATTAGCCATTCATGGTCATGGGCTAGCTGTGCCCAAGTAGAAGAACTTAACAATGACTTTTTTAACATGTTGGGGTTCTTCAAAGATCCGATTGCCCACTCTAATGAGGATTAGTGTTTGCCTTTGTGAAAGGGGGGTATTATTATCTCCCTCCTTCAACCATTGGATTCTCAACCCATGGACAAGATAGGGGTGGGAAGCAGGTCAGATTGACCTGCCGAGCTGGCAGGTCCACCCAAAGTTGCTGGGATCTCCCAACCTTGGTGGCAATCCCACTCTGGAATCTTGCTTTGGCACTTCAGAAAAGGGCACTTTGAGAGATACCAATTTTCAAATTTTAGGATCTCGATCCCCACCGCAAAGGTCAAGATAATTACCAAATTGATGATTTTTTGTATCTACAGTCAGCTTGCCATGCAACTATACGTTTAATATAGTTTCATTGCTTGCTAGTTATAAGTAAAGAGATCGCTAGAGTCTATATACTCCTAGACTATATCTTTAAGGTTGGGTGCGATATCCCAAAATGGTTGGGATCAAGATCTCAAGAAGGTTGGGATTGAGATCCCCAAGAGGTTGGCATCAAAATCCATAACATTTGTGGATTACGATCTCTAACATATGCAATGTACGGATGATGCTACCAACCATAAGGATCTTCTAGTATTTCATGGTACCCTGTTCCCGATCCTAATTCTGCTCTTGATCCCTACAACTATGGGTTAACCTGATCTAGGGGCCGGTTTGGATTTGCTCAGTGGACCTGGAGGGTTGTGACTAGGGCCACTTGACCTGGACCTAATTGGGTCTTGGTCTTAGTCTAGCTTTGACTTGATTGGGTCAGGTCTGGTCCTAGACCGACCTGACTCAATTTGACTTGATAATACATTATATTTTTTTGATATATGTATTTTTCTATTTTTGGACTCAGATTTGATCGAACGGTCAAGGTCCACTTGGCTTGAAACTGACTGTGGTTGGGTCCACTATGGACCCTATCGGGTCGGGTCCGGGTTGGGGTCGACCTGACCTAAACCTAACCGTTTACACCCTTAAGACTAGACGACCTATACTTGCTTTAGTGTGGCTACATATCTCCACTTGGCATCAGTCTCCTCTCTTTCTTGTTGGGAGAGATTGCTTGACACCTCTAAGGTATTGTTGCCAATGTCCTTCCTTATTGTCTCCTCTAACGAATTGAATCGACAAGTAGGTTTTCTCTCCAGAGTTTGGGAGAATGTTTTAGAAGCAGTATTTTTTGGTCAAGAGGTAGCCAGCCCAATCTTACACTTTGAAGGAGGTCCATTGTGGATTAAGGGTCTCTAAACTGGGCTCTTCGAATCCAGGAGTTTGAAGCGTAAGGGTCTTTGACCTGTGGCTATCTGGCAAGGGTGAGTGGAGTGTGTTTATGGTCAGAGGTCGTCTTGGATAGGATGCAGAAGTGGGTTCAAGGAAAAACTCTTCCTGTTTATGAGAAATTAACAGCCTTTCAATCTTTGTGAGGATTGGTGAAGTGGCGTGGTTAGATCAGATGAATGCTGAATTGTTGAGAGGAATGTTGATGAGGTGGATCTGTGAAATGATATCTGAGAATGCCGACATACTTGCTGTTGTTCAACTATTATATGGTTTGACATTGAAGTCCCCACCTAAAATCCAAAGGTTAGTCAACCAGGCTACTGTCTGGCCCAGTGTCCTTAATATTGCTTTACGTGTTTGCCATGGATGACATTGTTTATTCTACCACCTGGGATCAGTTTCAAGGAAAGCCTGGATGGTTGTGATGGGTACGTTTTCCCTGACAATAACAGAGACATAGAAACTATTTTATATTTCTCTTTTGCCTATGATAATTGATATTTGATCCCTTAGCATTGCTGATGAAACTTCCTTGACCAACGTGGATGGGTAATTTCTCCCTTCATATTTTATGATTATGGGAAAAAACGTTTGAAGGGTCTAAACAATAACATGTCCAACAGTTCCAACACCCCAATATATTTATCACATCTTTCACCTAATAATTTACTCTGTCTCTCTAGGTTCTCAGTATCTTATTCTTCACTACCCTGAGTACTGTGTACCACATTATACCCATCCTTTTAAAATGTTACCCACTATAGCTCCCTCATTTGGGTCATTAGGTCCAGTATAGAGTATTCTCTGGATCCCAAACATGCTACAAATCCTCCATAACTTAGCTCCAGTCTCATAGTTTAACTTAATATCCCTTCTAAGGCTCCACTTACGCATTTGTTGCTCCTCTATGTCATTCTAAACCCAAGAAAGGGCCCATCATATTCCCTGAGATTCTTGCTCTATCATCTTCTCTCATGCCTCCAGTGCCACCTTACATCTATATCTTTATTAGTCTCCGTCATGGCCAGTTCCTGGAGAATGGAGATGATTGCAAGCAATTGAATTTTTGTATTGACATGGAATGACTGCAGGTATGGCCTTGACTTGGTGCATTATATGCGTGCTTGATTGTTGGAGATGCTTGAGGACATGTTATGTCTCCATCTAGATAATCCTTTTGTGCTGCATGAAATCTCACAGGGAACTAGCGAGATATTATACTGTTTCATGTAACAAATTGTCTATTAAAAGTTCATTTGGAAAATACCAAATTTACAGTTGTTAAAGGAATCTTATGCCATAATCAATCAGTTTTGATAACAATAAGCTGAGGGTCCTATATATGCAGGCCATTCTTAATCAGAAGTATCGGACTTGAAGTCTTAATTTTTGAGTGCAGTTTTGAAATTCAGAGTTGTTTTTTCTTATCATGAGCATATTAATTGCGATAATTGTTCTTGACAATCAAGTTTTTGTGCTTGGCATACCAATTGATCTCATATAAGTCTCTGCACATTTGGTTTGTTGCAATGGTTTTGACACCAAATTGTTTATTATGGTTCACTTTCATGAAGAGTATATCATGTAGCTCTCATGGCTAGTTTATGCAATGCAAGTACTATTCTTTTACTCTCTTTGCACACACACATGCACGCACGCACCAGCACACACACATGCAAATACGCATGCAAGCATGCACTCTCACACACACACATATATGTAAGGATCTATTTTTTTTGGGTAACAACTCAGCAATCGAATCTGTTTTTGTAGGAACCGAATAATGACCTCTATCTGAAGTCTTTAGAACTGTCAGCCAAGGTAGATTTCCATCCTTTATGAGGTTCTACATTTTTTACAAATTTTGTGTTTTATTCCACATTTACGAATTTCTGTAAACCTATCTTTTGCATCCTTGATGATGTTGTAAATTGATAACTGATTTATGTTGCATTATGCAAATCTAGCTGTGTTTCCTTGATGTAGTTCTAATGTGAGGATAATATTTTGTATCAATTTTGTGATTTTAAGTTAAGCGCATGTGCTTATTATGAAAAAAATTGAAAGGGAAACCTTTTAGGGCGTATTTGGAAGAACTAAACACGAAAGAAAATAGAAAGAAATAATGGAATATGGTTAAGAAATTTCATTCATAGGGATATACTTAAAGTTATGCTTTATTATTTCGTAGATACGTACTCAAGAGCATAATTTTATGTATCGAAACAGTGTTTAAGTGATAAATTATTCTGATAATCAAGAATGGGAAAAGGTGCACACCAAGAGGAAAAGGTGCACACCAAGAGGAAAATAAAGTTTATTGAGCACCTGTATGGGTAGGTGGATAGCGAGGTAATCCTAGTGGACTGCCACCTATCATAAAGGGTTTTGGGAAAAGATGAGCTTCATGATTGCTTAGTTCTCCCTCAAATATGCAAAAGGGGCATTTGAAGTGTACTGGGATGTAGTTTTGAGATCGAAGGCTTGTTAGCTCGGTTATTTGAGCTGTGCGAGGGCTTATGGATCCTGAAGATCTTGGGGTTTGGGACGTCATGAGGACCTGGAGCTAATGGAAAGGAATCTTGGTTTTTCTTCTTGGGCAATTGATGCTCCTTTTTTTCTCCCCATGATTCTGCATTTCCCTAAAATGTATGCTTTATCACCCATTGAAAAACAAGTAGATTAGAAGCACTATGCTATTTATCTATCAAAACGTAAAGAAATTATTAATTAAGTGATTCTCTATCCTAGTCAATGGGTTCCCAAAAGGATTTTTCCCCTCTCCTTTTATAAAATGGTGGAGGTTTTCGGCGAGTCTATATCAGGCCTCTACAACTATAATATTGGAAGGTTTCAAATTCTTCCTGTGCTGACCAACAAACTCTCCCCTTCGATACAGCGACGATACTCTTGTATTCCCTTGGTGCCAATCCATAGTGAGTAGACAAATTTGGTTATTTCTGAGATGCTTTGAAATCTGCATGGGCCTTGATGTCAATATGGTGAAAAAGTTAGCTGTTTGGAATAAGAATAGAGCTGGAAACCTAGCAGGAAAAAGAATAAATAATATAGAGCCGTAGGCCACGTTGGCACTGGTTTGGAGACTGGGTTGTGGCACTGCCTCAATGCCCAACAAGATTTGTGCGGACCTTTATGTATTGGCAAACTCGAAAGGGCCCTTTGGGACAACATCATCGACCGAATCACGTCTTGCAGCATGGCATGGTTCCTCTCTCTAGTGGTCTTATCACCCTCATAAAAGGGACCCTTGCCAATGTTCCATCTTCCAAATGTCACTTTTCCGCATGCTAATGGCAGTCGTTAATCACCTCGAAAGGTTGATGAGAACTTTTTGCGGTCAGGGTGGAAAGCTGCCGTTAAGTATCACTTGGTTAAATGGGATGCAGTTGCCTAAGATCTATGTGGGGCTGGGCAAAGGAAGCGAATGGAGTGAAATACAACACTCCTTGGCTGCTGGTGCTTTGCCACCCAGGCAATACATCGTTTTTTCACCAACACAAGAGTGACTTAGATCATTTAGGCTGACTACCGAGAAAAATGACTCCTGCCTCAGCCTTGGGAATTTGGAAAGGAGTTGTGCCATCCCTTGCGGTGTTTACTCCCAATATTTGATTCATGGTAAAATCTGGGCACAAGACTGGATTTTGGAAAGATCTTTAGCAGCCAACCAGGACATCACTGCGGCCTCAGCCTATGATTGATGGGGGGTTCTATGGTTTAGTCCCCAGGCTTCTGAAGGTTTCTTTCAACTCAGAGGTCCCTGAGTAGTTGTCTCTCCGACAATTTGATAGTCTGCATACCCAAGATCTGGTAATGATCAGGTGTCAGATGATCTGGTCTTCCTCTCCCACTGGTAAATTTTCAGTTTTTTCCTTCTACTGAGCCCTATCCCAGTTAAATCAACAGCTGCTATTCACTTCCCTAATTTCAAGAACTTGGTTGCCTTGGCCCTGCCCAAAGTACATGCCTTCAATTGGTTCTTACTCTTGAGAAGAGTTCTGACGTCAACCAATTGCACCGTCGAGGCAACCAACTGCTTAACTGTTGCTCCCTGTGCATGGAGGAGTCCGTAGACCACCTTCTTAGATTCTGCGCTCACCTATATCATTTGGGCCTCCATTCTCCTGCGTCTTTGCTGGACTTGGGTGGCTTCCCATTCCATCCTGCAGCTCTTCATTGCCTACTACAATCCACCAGTCTGAGCTGCTGGTCTATTCCTATGAATGGCCACAGTGCTAGCACTTTGCTGGAACATTTGGCTTGAAAGGAATGCATGAAATTTTTAGGTGAAACAGTCTCAACTGCATTATGTCGAAGGCTGCATGCATGCTACTATAATCTTTTGGCTAGGAGTAGGCCTGAATTAGAAGGTTGGTCCTCTGCTGATTTTATACTGCAATGGCGCACATTATCCGAGCTAGACCAATGTTGATTGTTAGGTCTGGAGTTTCCTGAGAAAGTCTCCGTCAAGCTTAATTTCGACCGATGCAGGGTCAGAGGCATCTTTCATGAGCCGTGCTCCAACTCACTCCTTTCATACAAAGGTCCAATAGGGACAGCAAACTCCACTATTGCCTAATCTCAGGCCTTGCTAGCAGGCTTCAAGCTTTTCGATCTAAGGTGGGACCATTCCCTCATCACCGAGGGGGATTCCATAAATGTAATATGGGTCTTGAAAGTCTCTCCTACCCATGTACTTTGCAAGTTGGAACCAGTTTTTCAGCAGATTTGGGAGATCGTTAGGTCTTTTACAGTTACTTATGGCCACTTGCTTTTACAGTTACTTATGGCCACTTGCGGATAGAAGAATATTGATGCTTTCGCAAAAGGAGCTTCGAACGGAATTTTGTAACTTTTGAACCATAGATTGCCATGTTTGTAATATGTTTGACTATTTGTGTATGTGGCCCTATCTAAATTTGGTGTCAGCAATTTTATAATGAATTATACTGAATATAATACGGTCAGTTCTCTCAGAAAAAAGAAAAAGTGTACCAGAAAAAAACAAATAAACGGATTCTACCAAGAATGAAAGAATGCATAGGAGGTAAACAACTATTCACTGCTTTGAGCATTTAAAGCGGCATATTTTTTGTTTTTCAAAAGAGTTGGTTGTGCAGTTAGCTCTTTAAATGCTTGGTTGTTTTGTTGTTCCTATGGAGTATTGGGTGAGATTATGGGCAAAGAAGGTAAGAGTATTAAATAGGGACTGTTAGAGAGTCTCGGAGATACATTTTGGATTAATGAGTATGCCATCCGATAGGTATTCTGCATTTCTGAGGAGTTTCAGTTTTGACATGTGCATAGTAATGATGAAATTCAACATTTCAATCTCTCTTTGTCTCTGATTTTTTTGCACATGCTTGTGTTGGATTGGAATTTGGAACTTGGAAATTAAGATGGAAGGTAATACATGTTACGAGATTGCAATAGAATTAAAAGCAAAAGTGCTCTTGTCTGCACTAAGGTTGAACCATGAGGGATGTTCTGATTGGCTGGGGTCGTCTACCAATTGTTGGGGTTTGTGGCCTTTAAAGGCTATGAGAGCATGTAAATATCATTTATGCACTTCAATAGGAGTGTGAATGTTGGTTGACTGACCTAGGGTTAGGCAGTCTATAGCCCTGGTCATGTCCAATATCCTTCCCCTGGGCATATGGCATTATCAAAGAGGGTATACAGATGGTCATCCTTTGTTGAGGTCGGAGAGATGCCCATGCATGTGTTTTAGGCCAGGATAGCTGTGCGGTCTTATGTATACATGTAAGAGCAAGGGCTAAATCCTCAACAAACTCCGCATGATATCTACACATGATAGCCGCAGTACTGGGAAGCAACTCTGTAAAGGGATACATGTATATGTATATAGAGAGAACCCCCCCTTGCAGTATAGTAATATGTGTGTTTGACTTACTCTTAAAGGGGGAACCTGTAATCCACATTCCAGGATTGTGGTTCCACTTAGTGTTTGAAAAAGCGCTAGACGGCACCTAGGCGGTTGGGGGGGTCCAGGCCGCCTAGGGCTTAGGCGGGTGCTCAGAACCTAGATGGCTCACTAGAAATTTTTTTTTTAGGTTTTTCTCTCTCTAAAATAGGCTCTAATAGATTTTAGGTTTCAAATGAATCTAAAACCCACAATTTTGCACCTTTAATATTAAAAAAATGACCCAAAAATACCCTCAACGAGGGGCATTTCCGCCCCTGGGAGGGGCGCAGGCCTTGGGTAGCCGCCTAGGCGGGTTTAGGCGGGTTCCCGGGCGCCTAGGCGGCCTCCCAGGGATATCTGTTTTTTTTGGTTTTTTTTGGGTGCCTAGGTCCAGGCGATGCGCCCAGCCTTGAGAACCGCCTAGGTGTTGGGCGGCCCACTTTTTGAAACACTGGTTCCACTATTGATCGGTCAACTTTGGCGAGCCAATCATGAGCCCTTACATGAGACTGTGGGTTATGGGTCATGTTAGGTCGGTTTGAGAAGATAATTGAGGATAACAATTACAAGGTTGGGTGGACCTCTTCCCCTCTTCCCCCAATATGAGGAGGAGTCGCCGTCGACCCCAACCCCTCAGCTGGAATCAGATCTATGATCTATATCTCAAAACCTACCCACCGCCACCAAGTACTCAGCCTGCCCACTCACCCTTCCCCCGATCATTTTCTTAGAGATCCAAGATGTCCATTCCAGAGGCTAAGTAGTCTCTAAAAGCCTCTTTCTCCCAGGTGGTTGCCACCACGAAAACAACCACCATCCCCTCTGCCACTCCAGCTCTCCTCGATGGGTGCCTCCCCGCCATAGACCCTTCTCC